CCCTGCCCACCCATCCTCCCCAGTTCCTTTCCCTTTGGTACCTGTTAGTCCATTTTTGGGTTCTGTAATTCTGCTGCTGTTTTGTTCCTTCAGTTTTTCCTTTGTTCCTATACTCCTCAGATGAGTGAAATCATTTGGTATTTCTCTTTCTCCGCTTGGCTTATTTCACTGAGCATAATACTCTCCAGCTCCATCCATGTTGCTGCAAATGGTTGGATTTTTCCACTTCTTATGGCTGAGTAGTATTCCATTGTGTATATGTACCACATCTTCTTTATCCATTCATCTACCGATGGACATTTAGGTTGCTTCCAATTCTTGGCTATTGTAAATAGTGCTGCGATAAACATAGGAGTGCATCTGTCTTTCCCAGGTGAGGTACTTTTATTTTTAATTTTTGAAATCTTGTCCTTCATTTTCCATATCAAATGGAAAAGTACAGATAGCTGAAATTTGGATTAGGGAAAAGGTAGTCACAATAATGATCAAGACCTAGAAAGAGTTTCCAGGTAATATGTAGATAACCTGGTCTGAAACCATTTAAAAAAATTGATATACCGATTTCTCTGATCTTTTTTGCAGACATCATCAGTTATATGATTTGCAATCCTCTAAAGAGAAAGCAGATAAATTTCCCTTGGGAAGAAAGTATTTCTTCCATATAAGAATAAAACAAATTTCCTTTTTGGGTCTTCCTTAGGTTATGGAATACACAGTGTTCTCACCAACACTCCTCTGGTAAATGCAACATTTCTTGTAGCTGTATCATAAGATGATCTCTTAAGAGGGAAGATATAATGTCATAGTCATACTCCTTAACTTTATCCTTTGGTGCTGGGATCATCAGACTGTAGGTCCAAATCTCTAACTGTTTTTATAAACAAAGTTTTACTGACAGCACAGCCATGCCATTTATTAACATATTGTTAATATGTTTTCCTGCTACAGTGGTACAACACAGACCATTTGGCCTATGATGCTGAAAATACGTACTTTACTGAAATAGTTTGTTGACCTCTGCTTTAAAGGACCTAATTGATTACAGAGGTTTTCTATTGTCCAGCTTTATCCACCAATGAATAGATAACAGACTGGGTACATTTTGCATGGTCTTCCAAAATATGATTTTTAAAAGGCAGCTCTTAAATGATAATTATCTGGCAAAGCTTTGGAGAGCAAGGGTCTCTGATGCACCATGCCCTTTGCTGTGGTTTCAGAGTTTGTAGGATTACTGTCCAACTCAAAGCTGCTCTTTCTATGCTTTTCCATTTAAATGGTCTGTATTATGTTTTCTTCCTGCCAATTGTTGCTGTATACATGGTAGACAAACTTTATATAGAAAACAAAAATTTTAAAACTAAGACACCTTTTAACTTAAATTCCACTCTTCTAAGATTATCAGTGTTTACCATTTGTTTTTAACCTTTCAAATTTTTTTCATTATGACTGTGATTAAGTGCATATATGTGAAAGTAGAAATGTGCAAGAGTGTTTCTTATTTTCTTATGCTTTTCTTTTGGGACAGTGATGTTACAGTAAACATTCTATTTTTGCAACTTTATTTTTAACTTTACTACCCGGTATGAAGATTTTTGTGTACATTTTTTCATATCTTCCCATGCCACTATATAGAATTCTCCTTTATTATTTTAGTAAATTCATAGTATTTCCTTGTGGTCTGGTTGACTAGGATTGTTTTCCTTATCTATAAAATGAAGGTTATAATCCTTAGAGGGTTGTTGTGAGAACTGATTGAGTAAAAACTGTGTTTAAAACTGTAAATGAAGTGATTTGTTCTATATTGTTAGGTGTTATTATTATGGTATCATTATTATCAAATCTCAAAATCAGCTTTTGCATTAGGAGTACTTATGACCATTTTACAGTAAAGCTTAACAAATGAGTTCTGTTTCAAAAAGAGGATTTTTTCCTTCTTGGTGTCGGTAGCTTCAGAGCTATACCGTCCAATACAGAGCCACCACCCACATGTGGTTACTAAGTACTTGAAACTGGTTAGTCTGAATTGATATATTCTTAATTGTAAAGTAGATACTGATTTTGAAAATATAATTCCAAAAGCTCACTAAGAATTTGTAAAGATTAATTATGTGTTGAAATCTTATTTTAGATATAGTGGGATAAGATATATATTATTGAAATTAATTTTTAAACGTGTCTACTAAAAACTTTAAAGTTACCTATCTAGATAACTTTGTGTTTCTGTTTCACACAGCTGCTTTAGAGAATGAAAATGGGTTTTTAAATTAGTTCAAATCCACTACAATGACTAACCAATTTATACTTGTTCCTTTAGGAAGAGATTGATATTTTTTCCATACTGTCCAGAAGTAAAGTCATTATTTTTCACATATATCTATACTTTCTCCTTCAAACGTCTACTCCCCTTTCATCTCCTCCGCCTCTTCCATTCTCCTAGTCACCCAAGAGGTAGAAATTGTTTGTAGATGACAAAAGTACAATTTTCCACTGATTATGCACTCTATTTTTCTCAAAATTAACAAAATTTATACATATTTGGTATATTGAACCATTCATGTATCCTTAATAATGGAAAATCACAATGTTAGAATTACATCTGTTGGAAAGGAATTCGGTTCAAAGACTCAGAGAACTCAGAGTGAAAGGTAAGGAAGGAATTCATTAAAGCAAGAATAGCAGGGAATGGCAGGTGCCTTTCAGGCAGCAGAGAGCAAAGAAGAAGAGAGGGAGGAAAAGGAAGCTCCTTGAGCTCCTGCTCAGCATAGGGCAGATCCCTTGCCAACTCCCAAAGCCAGGGTCACCTGGCGTCCAGTGTCTGCTTGAATCTGCATGGCATGGGAACTAAGTCCCTATGACCCCAGGGTTTAGGGGAGCCACAGAGCACTGGATACAGTGAGATTATGTTCTGAGAACTTCCCAAAGGCAAAGAAAGGAGATTTTCAGGCAGGCTACTAAAGAACATGATCATATAGCTGCAGTCCTCTCCAAGTAACTCAGGCAACAGGAACTTTGCAAACTCAAATCAGAGCTCTCAGTAGCCCCTCCCTGCTTATCTGGAGTAGAACAGAGACAGAGGGAAGACTTGTGCGTAAATCTGGAGAATAGAATGAAATAGCAAAATGACAAGCTTACCACTGGAAGAGCCTGGAGACAAAACATAGTAAATTGAGCAGTAAGA